AGCCTTACGCGCTGGCCGCCCTTTACCCCCAGGAAGATTCGTGGTACTCATTTCTATTAGAGACTGAGTCAACCCCAGGGCCATAGTGCGGCTGGAAGGATTAGGTCAATTGATGACCTCATCAGGACTTGAACCCCCGACCTTCCGGTTTGTAGCATAGTGCATGTAGCCTCAACCAACTACACTACCGCGTGCCCTGGAGAGACCCCTGTACTCATGATAAACAGAGAATATAAATATTAGCAAAATGATTTGAGTTAAGGCTGGCAGAGTTGTTAATCATGAATATCTGATGCAGGGATCGAGAGTAGGACACTTAAGATGCCACCAAACATAACGCACAATGAGCTGCTGGACCATATCCAGTTCCTGAATGGTGATTCCCATACTGATGGAATTCTGGTTCAGCTGCCACTTCCAAAACACATCACAGAGCGAGCTGTATGCAATGCCATAGCTCCTCATAAGGATGTTGATGGTTTCAATATTGTTAATGTGGGTCGATTCTGTCTAGACATGAAGACACTCATTCCATGCACGCCTTTAGGAGTTCAGGAGCTTATCAAGAGGACAGGTTTGTACATATATATAAATGGATACAGTAATTGTGTAAGTTATGATTACAGAAAATATTAAATATGTGTTGCAAAGTACTTTGTAAATTTTATATATGCATCTGTCAGTTGTATTGGTTCAGTAAGAAAGGGGTCCAGCTTAAGTATTTGAGTGCTGACAAATATATTTGGAAAATTGTCTTTTTGGCTATTAAATTCAGGATTTAAGCTTTAGAGTTTGCCGCCATGCCTTCTGTGCAATTTAAAGTATAGTTGTGCCTGTACTTGATTGATTAATCAATTAATTAAGCACTATGTTATGAACACATAGGGGAGCAGAGGTGTGGCTTCACCATTCTTGACCTCAGCACTGGCTGGAGGTGAGTGGTCAGCTTCACTGAGCTATCCAGGCTCAACTTCTGTACACTTTAATTGGCAAAAAAGTATTAAGGAGTGATTGTATTATATTTTATGCAGATCAGAAAGTGGAGTTTTTGTGTGAACAGGTGGATAGTAAAAAGTGACACTTTTCTTAAAACTGTAAACTCAGACTGACCAAACAACATTTGCGAACAGTACAGAATTAAGATTGTTTGCATATTAATTAACATTGCAGTACTTTTTAGTGAATCCAGCTGTCTTTTGTTACCTGTGCTCAGCCCCATGCAGTTCAGTAGTATCAAGACAATATGTTTCTGCTTATATTTTCATTTATTTCGCTGCAGCAGCTCTCAAATAATTTTTTTGTAGGTGTGGAAACATTTGGGAAGCATGCTGTAGTCTGTGGCAGATCGAAGAATGTTGGAATGCCAATTGCAATGTTGCTGCATGCTGATGGAATGGGTGAGTATAAACAAATGTATTTGTTGCCATGTGAATTCTCTTGTGTATGTATGTCTCCTAATTTGGATCAGGTGTAACGGTAATTGTCAAGAATGAATACTGTACTCAGGGAAACAACCATGTAGGGTTTTCTTTTTTCTGAGGGAGTTGATTTGGGCACTGGATTCCTCTTAAGTGGAGGAAACTTAACACTGAAACTCTCTTGGGCTCAATGAAATTGAACTTGAGGGAAAACATTAAATGGAGGAATGTGAAATTAAAGTTGCACTGTATGATCATATTTTTGCAATACAACTGGATTATTATGAGAATTGTTGGTTATCAGTAAGATTTTCCATTTATCAAACAGATATATTCTTGAAGAAAGCAGTCTTCTGGGATTTGGCACCACGTATTGTGGTGTTAACTGACGTTTTGGAGGAGACCGCTTGTACCGGTTCTCGCGGTCTCTTCACCTGCGGATTTCTTATATTATTCCTTCTACTCTGAAGATGGAGGCGATACGTTCCTCCAAAATGTCGGTTAACACCACATCTACATGGTGCCAAATCCCAGAAGACTGCTTTCTTCATGGTCACTGCCGTGAAAACCTTAAATCTTACAGATATATTCTTGCTATTTTGCCACTTATTTTAACATGCAAAAGCCTGGGATTCTAGGATTTGTCTGGGAGAACATAGCAGAACCCTGAATCACTACAGTCAGGATTTCTGATGATTTATGGGATGCTGCAAGTCTGGGAATAAAACTTCTTATCTGCTGTCAAAGTGATTTGTATAATATTTGATTGTATCCATGTTACAGGTGAGACATCTGCCATGGATACTACGACAACCATCTGCCATCGTTACACACCTCCAGATCAATTGGCTTTGCTCACACGGTCAGCTGATATCATTGTCACAGCAGCTGGTTAGTACAATTTGTTATCTGGTTGGAGTAGCTATTCATGTGTGTGCCTAATTAAATCAAAGACAGCGTTGAATTTAGGATAATTTCTTAAATTAGAAGCGTAAAGATGAACCAGACTTTCCTTATAGCTTTCGAAGTTTCTAAAATGTGGATGCTACCTCTGATTCAGGAGTGCCAAACCTGATCCGAGCCGACATGGTGAAACCTGGCGCATGCATAATTGATGTTGGTATCACCAGGATTCATGACAAGAAGACAGGAAAGTCTAAACTTGTTGGAGATGTGGACTTTGATGGTGAGTGCTCTATGTGATATTATTACCTAATAGTTATTTTTCACCGCTAACTTCCAGGGTAATTTAACTTTTTTTAATACCATGTATAAGCCAGGAACACATTGTTTTGGATGAAGGAACTTTGTTCACACAAGCAGAAATTGCTTTACAGGTTATAATGCTGTAGTATGAACTGCAGTGGTTAATGTAGCTCTGTATGTGATTTATATTATGGTTCTCAGGGTTATGACACGACATAGCCTGGTAAGTGGGTGCCAGCGTTTTAGAGGTACAGACTACCTCATCTATTCTGAAGATAGAGGAATAAGTTCCTCCAAAATTTTGGTATTCATCTACCAGAGTACATAGTGTCAGTTCAGAAGACCACAGTATGTAAATTCACTGCCATGGAAACCTCAGGTCTTTTATACGTATGTATGAGATATTTGAATGTGATCATAAATGTTGAATAGGAGATGGAACATTTATGGACTATTTAAAGTTTCTTCCCTCACATTCACTCACAAAGTACTGAGAAAATCCACAGAAAAACTTGTCAGATTTGTGGTTCTCTCAGCAGTGACCATGAGGAAAACTTTTCTTGGATGTTACACTGTGTAGTCTCATTGAAGTTTACCAGGGTTTTGGAGGAGCACCTGTAAATTCATGCCAGACTTGACATTGTCACTTCGAAAAAGAAAGTTATCTTGACAGAATACCTTAGTAGAAGTTAATACTAATTGGTATGCTTGCCCTTTGGCCATACCTTCATGCTCACAATTCATGTAGCATGTGAAGGTAATGCTCAGGCCTCGGCTCTTGACGAAGTGAGATAAGTGGTCAGGTTCTTACTCTGAATGTGTTTGCTCCCAAGGACACCTCACCCTACTGAATAGGCCCAGAGCTGTGAAATACTTCTATGTAATGTAGATTGGCAAACAAGTATGGTTGCATTTTAATTAATGGAAATAAGTATGAAGTTTTATTAATCATTTCAGTTTTTTTTTCTTCACTGCAACCAGTTTTATAATCTCACCTAATTTACATTGTAACTGATTAACTGTCATTGTGCAGTTTTCATATTATTTCAAAGCCTGAAGTAATAATGGATTAGGCAGTGATACAAATGGAACATATTTTCTTAGGCTTTCTGTTTTCGCGTCAGTTTCTAACTAAACCTTTTATTTGGTAATCAGAACTTTATTAAAAGTGTTATTGTTTTCTTATTTTGAAGTTACTATATTTCTGCACTACTGCATATTTTATACATATAAATTGTATTAAGACTCTTAATATGTATCCAGAAACCAAATGGCTACTTTCAGACTTTATAACCATGAAGTGTCATGCCTTCTTCTTTCTCACTGCGCATACATCTAACTAGAATCATTATGTGCCCTCAGCTGTGAGTGAGGTTGCTGGCTACATCACCCCTGTGCCAGGTGGAGTTGGTCCTATGACAGTCGCCATGCTTATGAAGAACACTCTGATAGCTGCCAAGAAATCCATAGTTTACAATGTTCTTGAGCCAGGAGCAGTTGTCCACAAGGAGGCTTCTCAACTCAGGCCATGAAATCATATCTATAAAGAATATTAGATTTTCTGGCTAAACATATGTCTTGCAATGCAGTGTTACACTTGCTCATTTTATGACCATCAGATAAAACTAGGCCATCCAGAACTCTTCTTCTAGCTGATATGGTATTACATGATACTGCAGCTGCACCAGACATTAGACTTTAATTGATATATTTTTCTTCATGTGTCTGTGATATTTTATTTATTTATTTGAAGTATTTTTGTGATTGTAAAACAGTGAGTTAGGGCATAATTTTGCTTGTCTGCTGTAAAACAGCAAATTCATCCACACAGGAGGCCATAGTATAGTATTATAAACATATTATGGTTAACTTTAATGCAATAGAACGAGATGTAAGGAAAGGAGAAACCCAACAGATTATATTAATTTTATTGTCCTACCTGCAGAAACTATTAAATGTGTGAAGGTGTTAGTCGTGATGAGTGGTTGGAAGGTTTTATAGTAGGAATTTAATGATGATGCATAGGAGAGTTTACCAGAGCTCTTAGCTATCAGTCACACATTTTTAACAATAATGTTTTATATAGGCTATGACTACTAATATATTTTCAAATATATTGGTACAAAAGTTTATATATATATATATGTACATACAAACATACTAGTTAATATGTTGTACTTTTATCACCACCTGTTTATATTGAAGTCTTTCATTTTCAGTTAATTTCAAACGTGTTGCCAGTCCTATACAATCCTGAAAGTCTTTAATTAATTCGAACCCTTATTAAGGTTTATGAATTACTGATAACAAATGGCTCATCTCGTGATCCAGATGGTCCAGTTAGAATGTAAGATTTGGCTGTGAAGATAAATTCTAGAATTGCCTCTGAAATATCAGCAGTCGTCTTGTGTTGTATAAGCTCTAAGAAGCAGCTGCACATGACACATAAGCGGAATTGCCCAACACTACAAACATACAACACATGGGCACATAAATGAGGATATACTTTGGAATTGTATTGATTGATGGAAGTGCAGACGTTTTCAGCAACAATTTTGGAAGCACCTGATGATCATATCGGTTGAAACGTAGGGCACCAATAATGTGAGAAAAATAATGTTAAAATTAAAAAAAAAAAAACATGAATTTTAAGATTTTAACACAAGTTTGCATATGAGATGGTGAATAAGGAGCAGATTGGTTCAGTTATGGCTGAAAAGTGCTCGTTATTTAAGTTTCTTCTATCATTACAAGATACCAAATTTATCCGAATATGAGATTATCCACATTCATATATCTTAAAGAAATATAACTGCTTCATGTAATCTTGTGGAATGTCACTGCCATCATCAGGGTCGAAGTATAAGCCAAGAAAGACACAAGCATGAAAGCAGATGACAAGCTGAGCGCTTGAAATGTAGGTTCACTTTCAGTGGGCTACACTGCATTATATTCCAGAAGATAACATTCTTCATAACCACTGCTGTAAGAATCTCAAATCCTAAATACTAATATTATTTTTCCAGTGGTGATGTCATTAACTCCTTGTGTCTGTCTTTATATGGCATGGTACATGGCCTAGAAAACTGTACTTAAATAATTGTAGTATTACAACTATTTAAAAAAAAACAGGCCAGAGTGTAGGGTTCTCAGTGTATTTCCCTTTCCTTACATTATTCTTGATCCCTCAGAAGACTTGTCTTTAATTTCTATGTCTAATGCAAGCAATTTGTATACTGTTGTTGTTTCATTTTCATAAAATAACTAAACTACACTACCTTCATTTCTGCAATATTTCCTTCAAGTATATTTGAAGAGACTAGTTAAAAGGTATATGATGAACTTTTTTTCTTTTATTGCTAGTGGGGTGGAACTAAATCCCTTGTACTAAGGCCACTTCTGGCCTATTGTACCAGCCCCAGATGATAGGTGAGGGTGATTGTGGAGCAATTGGTGGAATGAAGATTGGCAAGGGAAACCGAAGTACTCGGTGAAAACCTACTCCAGTGCCATTTTGTCCACCACAAATCCCACTTGACCAGACCCGGGCTGCCGCGGTGGGAAGCCAGCGACTAACCGCTTGAGCTATGGCGTGGCCCGTCTGATGAACTTAGAGACACACTGTTAATAGTCTTATGTTGCTTAAGAAAAATGGATTTTAAAGAACATCTACTTGTAAGCTGCCAGTGCTTGGTGAGCAGTGAAGAGAGAAGGTGCTGTGTGCACATTAAAATACATTCTAGGAAACATCAGCATGTCATACAATGCCTTTCAGTCAGTGTGTTTGAAATGGCTGATGCGCCACCCTGGCTTTCCAGGTCTTTATCTGACTGCCAAATCCAGTATAGTCTGCCAACTAGGGAGTGCAGCTCATGCGACGTCCAGCAATGAGTCCCAGTGAATCCACAGCCTGCATATCTGCAGTTGGCCACATGTATAGTGCTTCATTTCTATATTTGTATACAGATAATGGGGAGCCTTGAATGTGAAGGATAACACTGTCAATGTAAGGGTGGAATAATTTCAGAAAACTATTACCAGTGATAACTCAATGCAGAATTTTAGTGTAATATATTTACATATAAAATTCACTCAGAAGTATTTTACAGTGACATTACAGTAAAGAAAAAACGTCTCTGCATAAAATCTCATCCCATATAAGATACAAATTCACTTTGTATATACTTAAGGTTTTCCTTCATTGAGGGCTCAGTTTCTTTGGTTTGAGCTCAATTATCAAAGTGTTAAATTTTTATTTAAGGTATTTCTGTATTTTGGATGATTATTTTATGATGCTGTCAGTATGCAGAATTGAATGTTAGGATTACTGATAATTTGGAAAGAAATGCTTGTGGTCTAATTGATATATTATCGCAGAATTTGCATGTAAGGACTGAAAGAAACCATGAGAAACTTGTCATTATATTTAGTGTCCATCATTAAGCATAATGGACCAATACAGGTCTCAGTGCATGGGGAAACCCACCCTCTCCAATAACTAACTAGTGTCCATCATAATTTTTCCATAGAGGTCCACTGACCGAAGCTTTCTGCCACCAATCTTTCAAATTTCCTGCCACATTGTAATTGTATGCTGAATGTTCTATATTGTTGTGCCCTTTATGTTCTTTAACATCTTTTGTAGTAGTTCACATATAGGAACAACAGATGTGTGCAGTCTATGGACTCCCATTCCAAATGTTTTCTTAATTTTCACACAAATCCATAGCTGGTACAAGTGAGACCGGAAATAGAAAGGGTAGGAAATAGTTAAATTATTGGATATGATGAAGCGAAGACTAATGTCCATAACAAGGCCCAAACTTCATATACCAGGACCAGTTTCCTTATGGACGTGCATGCACATTTGCATGAAGCAAGTAATGAGTGGAATTTTCACACCCATTTTAAAACATGAAACCAATCTCAGTGCATAATGAATTACTAGCAATAGTAATTATTAACTGGAATCCATTATGCAACTTTGGATCACAGCATTTTCATACAAACCTAACAATTGTGTCTTATATCACAGTAGAGCATCAGATGCCTGAACTTGAGTGTGTTGGCTTATGAACTTCAACTAGGGAATCTTTTAGTTTCACTACAGATCTCAGCTCCTTTTGCATAATGCAGATCATCTGTGCTTCTTTGCTTCTTATTCCACATGTTCATGCTGAGCCTCTGCTTCCCTCCAAGTGTTCTGAATTGTCTCCACTATCCAGCGCCACCATGTGGATTTGCTGAAGAAATAAACTCCACAAACTAGTATGAAAATCCATGACAAGGCTAGACAGTAGTCAGTCTCTTTGATGGGGACACTTGGCACTGGCCCACCAAAATCTGCCGATGTCACAAACAGCTTGCCATGTGGCTCCATACCTGCACACGTTGAAATCGATTGGAGGTCATAACAAAAATAGCTTATTTATACTAGAGATCATGAAGTAGTTATGTCACAACTACAAATGAAAGCAGCTGAAATATTTAAAAATATGTTACATTAAAGCACTTGAATAAAGAGACAGTTGTTATCAGACTCCAGAGCGGCCTCCATAGTCTAGAGGTAATGTTCCCACCTCATGACTCGTAGTTTGCGGGTCCAAATACCTGGCAGAGGTCATCGAATTTTTAAGGGTGGAAAAATTCAGGGAACAAGTCCTCCGTGAGGGACTTTAAGCTGTGGGTCCTGTGTTGTAGCTTTACGGCACGTAAAAGAACCTCATATCTCCAAAGGAGGTCACTGATCCAAAATTACGGACGTTTCCCACCCAACACCAGTCTCTAATACCTCTGGTAGATGGAGGAAGCATTATAGATACCTCTCAGCTAGTAGAGCCGGTCTCGCTGGCTGGGCGGGACTGATGGTAAGCACCAGTATCGGTAGGATATAGAGACTGGTAGAAATCGTAGAGGGAAGCACAATGGACCAATACAGGTCTCAGTGCATGGGGAAATCCACCCTCTCCAATAACTAACTATCAGACTCCTGTCTTGCTGTCCATAGCTGATCACTTTACTGGGTTAGATTAATGAGGATAAAGAATTGTATGCCACCTACAAGACTACACTGGTTATATCCCAGAAAACCATAATGATTTGCTTAAATGATAAGTAGTAAGATACAATGTAAGAAAGGATAAAGTTACACCTTTCACACAGGAGATGTGGATGAAAAATTCATGTCATCACTAGATGATGATGTGTAGAGGAAAAATATAATGATGCACCTACCGGGAATTGAACCCTGGCTACTCAGTCTACAGCCTGTCACTTTACTGTCTGAGCTACTTGACACATGGACATAATATTATTGATAGGTGAAGCTTTGCATACCTGTATATTTTGTTATAAATCTACTGAACATCTCCAAGGTATATTCTGAGTCATTGAACTTGGCAGCTGGCCTTCCATTATGAAACAGCATCACAGTTGGGACTCCAACAATTCCGTACTGGGTGTTGAAACTGGAACAGTACGTAACTTGTCAGTGATCGTGTTATGTGATATGTCATTTGAGTACTATACAAGGAGCACAAACTAAAGTCATCTTTGCTGCTCCACTCTCCATGAAAATGAAAGCTTCTGATTAAAATTAATTCAAAATTATACTCCTGAAAATAGGGCCCAATCATGCATTTTGAATGATATATATAATGTCTATAGAAATTTTAAAAATTATTGTGATAGATGTTAGGTGGCTAGCTGGAAGACCAAGGAGGAGAAGGGAGGATAATACTGCAATAGCTACTACATGAAGGTTGTGAGGATGTGACCTGGAGCCAGTCAGTTTAAAATCATGTTGAATGGCATTGGTATTAGCAATGTTGAACCTTTGGGTTCTGGTACTGGTAAATTATTAATATGTTTGTTACAATAAAAAAAGATCTTTAATACAAAAAGTAATGTGATATAATGTAAATTAAATTAATAATTATACTTTTGAATGATATCCAAACAGGATTTTATCATCTATATGACTGTCTAAAGCCGGGTCCAGACTTGTTGCTTATCCTTGTATCGTATCTCCGTTGCGTATCGTCCGATGCAACGCAACAAAATTTTGCGTCCAGACTTGTTGCGTATCTCCACTCCACTCCATTCAGAGTATATAAACAGAGAATCACAAACAGAAGAACGCATACTGGTGATGACTACACTCCAACTGTCTGGAGCTGATAAGCAAAGCGCGATGCAGCCGCCTATACGTCCAGACTGGCACCACTGCAACCCGAGTCATCTCTTTGATGCGATGGGAAAAGACCGCCAAGCGAGCGAACAGCCCGTTGCATATCATTTTCCAACGGAAGGATGATACGGGGTACGCAACAAGTCTGGACCCGGCTTAATGAGCAACCTAAAAAAAATGCATTACCTATGATGTTTCATTGCATCAACAGCTGCCATTTTAATATCTGGAAATGCACGAGAGAGAGCATTGAAATGAGGTGCAGCCATACTGCTGAATGGGCAGTACCGGGCATAGAACAGGAGTGCAACACAGTCTGCTGTTGAATGTCGATTTGTTACATTTGGTTCATTTATCAGAAGATTCAGCAACCTTGTAGAGTTCACCAGCTGCAGATAACAAGAAACATGAATGTCATAATCATTTTAAATATTTTTTCGTCAGCAGAGAATGCCTGTGTAGTTCTGTAAGAAGAGCAAAATTATTTAATGTGTTGGATGGTGTGTGAAGTACTGTTTCTGAGCAAGGAGAATATCCTGATATGGGGAACAGAAGGAAATGGAAACTGTATCTTGGTACCTAGATCAGGAACATTGCCTTGCATGCTACAAACCACAATTATCATATCTTATATTTTAAATGTACAGAGCTCTGCAATGACCAATGTGTCAAACTCAGAGTAACATCTGAGCATACTCAATGCACTCTTTCCTCTAGATAAGCTAAGATTAAAGGACCTTCTGTTACTGTCAAAATGTAGTTGTAGCCTTTCTGTAGTTCAGAAAATTCTATTGTGAGAAAATGAATAAATAATATTCCCTGCAATGGAGCATAATCCAAGAAATTTAGCCAAACATTGTTATAAGCTTAACTAACCACCTCCATGGGGCTGAGTCCTTCAGAAGCTGCCACTCACTCAGCTATTCAAAAGATTTTCCCAACATTTTACTGAACCCAAAGGTTCATTACCATATTTACAAGAGCACTCCACTAGTCCCTATCCTGAGCCAGAACAATATTACTTATACAAAATATTATACAAATGTATACAGGAAAAGTTTTTTGAAAAAGTTGCACTAGTGATAGGAATTAGTAAAGTATTTGAAATTTAAATGTTCCATGAAAACAACTTCATGTATGTCCTAATTGTTATGTTAATGTGATAAGTGATATCAAATTTATATGCTATAAAATAAGGTAATTTTTATAACTGTACTATTGTCACACATTATAGGCTGACATCTACAGAAAACTTGTTATGGCAAGAGTTATGTCACCATTGTAAGATAGTGGTATTCCAGTACTCCACCTAAAAGACACAGTTCATAGTATCTCCTAACATTTTGCAGCACAGACATGAAATCTATCGAGTGTGCATATTCTAATTAATAAAATTAGCAAAGACACCTCTACAGGCTGGCCAACTGTCTCTCTCCCAGTAGTACAAGAAACAAGGGTGGATGTTGAATTTGATGCATCATCTGGCAAGTCTGTAGCATTGGCTGTGATGTTTCCACTTTCTTGCTGCACACCCTGTGCAGTGGTCAGGACCTCGATATCACCAAGGGTACCAACATCTTCAGTAATCACTTCCAAACTTTCCTTAGCAATATCAGCTTGTTCTTCCTCAAACTGCTTCTGTAAGAACAAGTTCGGACCATTATTTCAGATGCCTGGTCATTAAGTGAAGTAGTGCAAATGGATATTAACTGACTCCCTGGCACCTGAACCTGAAGATTAACCACTGATAAAACAGAAGCCTACTGTCTGCTTTTATCTGTGATTTAGTAGCAAAGGGGACTAGAATTACACAAAAAGAACATACACTTTAGAGAACACTGAAACTATATGACATTTTTAGGATGTGTGTGGATTATTTAACATATCTTATCAATAATGTACTTCCACAAAACGTGCCCCAATATGCAACTCGACAACACCTTGAGTAAAAATAATTCACTGAAAGGTGTAGTCCATTAGTATGTCACAATGATTTTGTGTTACTTCTAAAGATTTCTTCCTTACATGCAGAACAGAATACAATTTAATTACATTCCATAGATCCTTCATAGGCTTAAGCTAAGGATATAGAATATGCCATAATGCAAATACAATACTTGTTGCCAATATAAATATAAATACAAAGTTGTAACATCTAGTTACATTTACAGAATTACATGATAAACAATTATATGAAAGAATCTTCACGATTCTGTTAAACAGTTAGAACTTCATATGAGGAATGGGGTTATAATTTAACGTGTAAACATTTCTATTTCTGAAATAGTTTAGTGGCACTTAAATGATACTTACGTGCAGTTCATCGATAAATTTGTTCACAGAAGTAACTTCCACATCGGCAGACCTTATATGAGAATTTATTTCATTAGAAATTTCATCACTGGTGATTTCATTGTTAAGTGCGGCAATTTCTTCTTTAACGACGTTTTCGTTCACGTACAGTTCATGACAAGTCGTACCGTATATTGCTGAAAAAAATAAATATAATAATTTGACAGTACGTGCCCAGTACGATACCAAGGAACGAATTTCAACCATAATATTCACAAAATTACTTAACCTAAAATTCATATACTTTACGTTTCTTACCCACTATTAAAAATAATATATATACATTCTTGGCCACCATAATTTTTTTTTGAGAAACAGACAAAAACAAGAAGAATAATTTAGCATTGGGTCATCATTTATCTCTATGTTCAGTGACAAAAATATTTTCACAATCCCAAGCTCAATATAACGCTTCCTAAATCAGCGTCCCATTTCAAAACATTGCTACCAATAACGGCCTTCTGCATCATTTTGCTAACCCATGTGAGCATGTGAATGGGTGGGGAGAGGGTAAGTTTGAGTAGCAGGCAACCTCGTTACCGCTCGTTACCGTCCCTGGAGCAGGAGCAACAGGAACAACAGGAACGATCAGGATCAGGAAGATCGAGAACGCTACGTCACTAACTCATGACATTGCAATACATCTATGGTCATTAAAAGCTGAATAGAAGCAAGAGACAGTGAAATTTAAACCATACTGATGATCAACTGTAATCTTTGATTCAAATTTTCTGCTACAAGTCCGTAACAATTACTTTCTAGGTTATATCGTTCAAAGTCGTCAAAGTAGTTTGTTATAAAATTGCACAATAGTTACATTGATCGGAATGATTTCGTACAGGCGAGGATTGTTATCACTTATCAGGTATTTTATTTTACTAGTTATGCATAGTTCCAGACATGTTCTGTTGTCCATCATTACGCCGGTAATCTCTCACGAGCCAAATTAAAATTGGGTTTGTTTTAAGGGCATTTACAGTGGAAGTACAGTGACTATAAACGTATGTGTGTGGAACCGGTTTCTAGTCAGGTTGAGGTTCTCACAGCGCCTGTAATGAAGAGTTCTGTCTTCTGGGATGTACACGGCGTTATATCCTAGTACAGAGAACTATTCAGTTTCGAGTACAATGCACGTGAAAATCTGTGGCAAACACTTTTCTCTTACAGATATGTAGATGGGTAGATACACGCCCTAGATTCTAGAAAGCAAATGTAGTTAAAAAGTACAATATATCACATATGGTATCTAAAAATACAATACAGTTGCAGTTATTCAGTGTTTTTTAAAGGCAACTAATCTACTGGTCTGGTTCACTGATCATTATGCGCAGTATTCAACACACCAAGTAGTTTTAAGATTGGGGGTTTTCATGGGAGTGATCAGACTGTGGTATTCTGTGTTGTGATATGAAGTAGTCTTGTATATTGATGTTTTGGAGGCACAAATTGCCTCCATCTTCATTGTTGAAGTGTGTATTTCGAGGAATTGGCTTATTTATATAGTCAGGTTGCAAGGAAGCTAATTACAGACTCAAGGGATGGCAAGGAAGTAGCTCCATCCTGGCCAGTGGAAGCAATTGGTATGAAAGTTGCCCTTTAAGAGACATGCTGAGTTTTCCATCGCAGGTGGATATGGAAATTTAATGGTGGTCTTTTTCAGGGAACACATATTTAGGAAGAAAAGTATAATTGTGACAAAAGATGGAAACCTACATATATAACTGAACCAATTCCTCAACCTACACATTTCAACCCTGAGGCTGGAGGTAGCACATTACCTTGAAACAATAAAATCTAGCTATGAAATTACATAGCAGCAGGTAGTAGTATTTTGGAACCTAAGGATGAAGAATTTTAATCATTTGTGGTGATAAGTCATCCTGAATGTACCTACATTGGCATTATAACACAGACATTGATAGGTTCGCTACTATAGTGACATTTGTGGAGGCCAGGGAACAGCGTAAGATTTTGAACTCATATCCTCTCATATACTCAACATTAACTGTAAAGACTTCAGAAGTTAAGTGTTTGTTGTTGGGTAATGCTGCTAGATACAGAGTTGAACATGGCATAATTGGGAAATATTTTTTTTGTTTTAGTTTCATTTTATCTATTTATATTTCATCTTAATGGTTGAGATTAATTTGATATATTGACAGAATTAATAACATTTAGATTTAAAGTTTGGTTGTGTGAAGATAGAAAGGGATCTCTTAGTTTTGAGACCTGGACATGGATGAGCCCTCCCATGCAATAGAACCACATCTGGATACCCTGAATGAACAAGCATTGACTGAATATGACTGAATGAACAAGCATTCAAATGTAACTGGAATGCAGGGAATGGAATATTAAGATCAGTAGACAGAAGCATAGCTTTGGCAGGTTTGATATTTTTTAAGATTTGAAAGTGCACATTTATCTGGAACTAATGAATGAAAGAGAGGTAGGTGTGATCTCTGTGTTTTCAAGCCGTACCATAGCACCATTTCGGTGACTCAGTCAAAATTATGACAAGGCTAAGAGCTAAGTGTTGGTATAAATAGGGTTGTTGCTAATTTCTCTGATGATTGTGATAACATGCTGTATAGTGTGGAACTGTTTCATGATATAGTGACAACATATACCTGTTAATATGTACTTAGGTTTATTAAACCAAGGGTAACTGTTCTGATCTACTTTATCATGTTAATTGTCAATGAATTTTGGTCATATTCGAGGTTCCTAATCCTAACATACCACTTCACCTTAACTAATACAACTGGGCACTATATTTTAAAGACAGTACCTCTACTGTATACGAGTATATATCTTGTGCTCAGTATTTCTAAGGTACGTTATTTGAATGCCAGTTGAAACTATTCTCCTTGCTGAGGTTTATTTTTCTTTAATTTTTTAAGGCAAGCAGCATGTTTCAGATATCTGTGACTATGTTACCTGTCCTATTTTCTTCTGCACAGCCATCTACACATATCTTACTCCACAAGACATAAACTGTGAAATCAAATACATAGGCATTCAGTCATCCAAGCGCTGATAGGTGTAATTGGATGGTAGTGAGCTCTTCATATTTAGATTGGTTAGAGAGAGAGAGAGTCCTGAGAAAGATTATTCTGTACTGTATGATTAAATTGCTTTGTAGGTGTAATCATCCCAGAATTCTGTGCAATGGAGGTCAGCACCAGAAGCATACACTTCCTGATCTGCCATATGATTATAATGCGCTGGAACCAATTATTAGTGCTGAGATCATGAAGCTCCATCACTCAAAACATCATGCTGCTTATGTGAACAACCTCAATATTGCAGAGGAGAAGTTGAAGGAAGCACAAGCAAAGAGTAAGTGGGATTTACTTAGTTTAAAGTTTTAATCATTGAAAGATTGCTTGTGTAGTTTTGTGTGCTGTGTTTTCTTTGAGTGTGGTGTGTTATTTTGTGTGTTGTATCGTATTGGCCCCACATTTGCCTCCGCACAATCAGTGGCACATCTAGCAAAGTCGGAAGGATATGTTCCAGGAACACCTTGTAAAAGGGCCCATTGAGTTGCGGTGGTAGGAGGAAAGGCCCAATCAAGTGATCGCCAATGATGCCCGCCCAGACATTGACAGAAAATTGCGCCTGGTGGTAACCAACTACAGTAATGTTGGTGTTTTCGTCAGTCCAAACGTGGCTGTTTCAACAGTTGCATCAGCCATCCCTTGTAAACTGCACTCCGTCTGTGAAGAACACGTGATTCAGGAAGTTGGGCTGATGTAAACACTGGTTCAGTATCCACTGACAAAATTGAACTAATTGTATAAAGTCAGCTGGACCTATGTCGTGTACTCACGTTGGATGATACAGATAAAGTTGCTGGTTGTGCAGGATCTTCCAGACACTTGATTTTGATGTCTCCACAATCTTGGCAATGACACGAGTGCTGGTTGATGGCTGTTCCTCTATGCAATGCAGTTTGACATTGAGGCGCCAAGTTTAAATGAAATTATTTTAAATGCCGCCCTAGCGCTGCTGTTTTACATTTGCGGACATGGGTTCCTATTTCAGAGTTATTCTATAGGGAACCCTCAGTACACTCCTGAAGTATGGCACCAAACTTCTGGGACATTCTGTATGTTTTCTTTTACTAGCCATTGAGATATTTCCTAATTATGCAGTTAGATGTTTCATTTTAATTTGAAATTCTTTCTCCTTTATAGAAGGAATACAGTGAACCATCATCTACAGTTTTTTTTTTTTAGAAACATTGAATTTGAATATTAAACTGAAGAAAATCGAGAAAACTTTTAAGTCAGCGAATGTTAAGTGAGGGTTCCTTTGTATATGCCAGACAGCAGTGTTAGCCATAATTCTGAGATATTTGTCAAAATCTAAATATCCTGGAAAATAAGTTTACAATTATGATGTGACTTGTTCAAGTGTTACTGTTGTAGCAGTTATGAATGCCAACTAAAATGAATGAATGCTTTTCTTTGTTTAAAATTGCATTTTATTTTCTGTCAAATTTCTCGAGTAAAGAAAGCTCGTCAGTGTTAAAGAACTGTATGTATTGGGTGGATTGTTTCCATGAATGACACATGATATATTTTCCTATGCAGCAGAACTTTTCTATCCATTATAATAAAAGAATAACTTTCTGGTAATGCAGACAATGTAATTGCTTAAAAATTTAGGTTCGTATGCTGAATAATTTCATACTGTTAATCTAATGGTATTCTCACCTTGTAAAAATCACTTTCATTGCTTCATGTTATTTCCATGAAAAGCAGTATCAGATGCTTGTTCATATGAGAGCAGTGTGGAATGGAGTCTGTCCCAACAGGCAGATTTTAATATTAGTGTTAGACATTCATATTGTTAAATGTTTGATGTGTGCATGCATGCACGCTCCAACACACACACACATGCACACATGTAGAGGAAATGGGTATGTTTACATATGAAATTATATTTCTCAAGAATAAGATATCAGTAAGGACAGATGAATCAGACATACCATAATCCTCTAAATGTTTGTAGCCACAAGTAGGGCCTGATTACGAAGCTTAGTAACCATTTGGAAGTTTACCGGTCATGGAACATTTAAATTGTTACAGACTGTGTAAGCACGATCATCAGCCTGGGCCCTGCACTGAAGTTCAATGGTGGAGGCCACATCAACCACACAATCTTCTGGCAAAACCTGTCTCCTACTGGAGGAAGCCCATCAAGTCAGTTTTTGGGTTCTTTGTCGAGCTGACAAGGGAGTATTTTTTTTATTGCTAGTGGGGTCGGACTAAGTCCCTTGTACTGCGGTCACTTCTGGCCTATTGTACCAGCCCCAGATGATAGGTGAGAGTGATTGTGGAGCAATTGGTGGAATGAAGATTGGCAGGGGAAACCGAAGTACTCGGAGAAAACCTGCCCCAGTGCCACTTTGTCCACCACAAATCCCACTTGACCAGACCTGGGATCGAACCCGGGCCGCTGCGGTGGGAAGCCAGCTACTAACCGCTTGATCTATGGCGCAGCCACAAGGGAGTAACTTTCATTTTAGGATAATGAGGTCCTGACAAAATTACTATAGTGTGCAGTAACTTAGTTCTGCACACTAAAATGAATGATTATATCTTAAAATTTAATTTTACAAACCAAGTATGTTGGCACAGTGTTAACATGCCTGGCTGCATTTTGTAATAACTTAGTTTTAATTCTTGTCAGCGGCATCAGCTGTCCTGATAGTCCCCCCCCCAAGCGGTCCCTGAAGGTGAGTGTCAGGGTGAAACGTGGAAGCAGGTTTTTCAGTTTTCTGTTTGACTACTATACATGCATAATTATTCATTAATCTAATCTTAGTTCATGTATGGAATCATTAAATTTACAAATCAGAATTTATCATCACTTTGCAGGTATTCCTTTTCATATTTTGAAGAAACTTTGGAACGAATATTTGTATGTCTAATGTACACGTAGTAAGACTCAAGATTTGAAGACATATATTGTAGTGTTCTGGGTTAAAGGCATTGGTCAAGTAGATGAGTACTTGGCTACCAGACTGGACATTGTCATAAATCAGATGGCCACAGTATGAATACAGTAAGATTTATCCTCCTACATCTGATAGCAAAATCTCAGCTCATTCTGACAGAAGGTGCAGTAATATTTAGCAATCGTAGGTGTGCTATTTGGCGTGTACATGTATGAAGTTGCCAGCAGCTTACCAGATGCATTCATGTCCTACTAGATGTTGACGTTTACTAATTGAACATAATATAGGAGAAAGTTATGGCACAAAAACTGTACGTTTAACATTGTTTGACAGGTGAATTGGAAGAGGCTATTAAAAAGGATTTTGGCTCACTTGACAACTTGAAAGCACAGCTGTCAGCAGTATCTGTTGGAGTGCAGGGATCTGGTTGGGGTTGGTTGGGCTACAACAAACAGACAAAGCGACTTCAGTTAGCATCCTGTGCAAATCAGGACCCATTGGAAGCAACAACAGGTTAGTTTCACCAAGAATTTTGTAAAGTACCTACTAACATTATTGCAGACTTATTGGGTTAGCACTTCATATCATAAGTATGTAAACATCAGCACAGTAATCACACTTGGTTTGGAAATTAAATATTAAAGTATGTTTGGAGATGTTTTGGTGAGGTTTTCTATTGATAAATTTACTTTATGCTCATTGGTGGAAATATATGGGCTTTTTAAGTTTCTGAATTCTGACAGATTTTTATGAAACTTGACAAATGAGTATGTGAATGGTATAAGTTTATTGAATTCAATTGAAATGAATTAGTCGATCAAAGGCCGCGCAATAGCTCAAGCGGTTAGTCGCTGGCTTCCCACTGTGACGGCCCGGATTTGATCCTGGGTCTGGTCAAGTGGGATTTGTGGTGGACAAAGCGGCACTGGGGCGGGTTTTTCTCCGAGTACTTCGGTTTCCCCAGCCAGTCTTCATTCCACCAAATTCTCCATCATCATAATCACCAGGGGCAGGCTACAATAGGCCAATCAGTGGCTGCCATGCCAAGTGAACCCATTTGGGCTCCACCCCCCCACTAAGCGAATTTAAAAATATTTTTAGTCGATCAGCAAAAAAATATTTCTTTTCATTATCAATGGAACATATATGTTAATTATTTTAAAGATCATATAGGAACAGTGAAAAACTGTCTGTTAATTGACTAAAACCTGTTCATTGATATTGTTTATTGTGTGATTAGGGAACATAGTATGAGATGTGGAGTGCATGAAAGTTTTCATTATCTTTTATTTTGAACCATTGCTTTCTCTCTCTCTCTTTTTATGTAACTTTTTTTTCCTGTCATTGCAGGTCTTGTACCTCTCTTTGGCATTGACGTTTGGGAACATGCATACTATTTGCAGTATAAAAATGTGCGACCTGATTACGTGAAGGCAATTTTCGATGTTGTTAATTGGAAGGATGTTTCAGAGAGGTTTGCCAAAGCAAAGTCTGGATAAGATGGTTGCTCATTATATCTGCGTTCCTGATGGATTTATCCTATGGATAGTTATATGCTTTCTAGTAACTTTATGGTAAAGGAAAGTAATTGACATACTTGTGTCACAGATTAAGCCATTGTTCTGTTTTTCTGTATATGCTCTTGTAAACTACTTTCCTAATGTGCTGTGTAGTGCCTTCCTTAATGTGACACCTTTAATTTCATTTCAGATGAAATAATGGTTTCTGGTAGTATCAATATTTTCTTATTCTAAATATGAAAACATACTCATGACATTGAAAGCACAGAAGAATATCAGATATTTAACTGCTGTTTAATTACATTTTGTTTCACTTTTTGAATTAGAGTGCTCTACTTGCCTCTTCTGTAATATTACAAAGACTGTCACAGGATTTTAGTAATTTGATACAATACCATATTGAAAGTATTTTGGTATTGGTATAAAAAAAATAATATTGTCTTATCATTTCTATTGATTCTCTGTCCATTTCTGTATGACATTCAGGGATTAGAGACCCAGTCTTTCTTGCCTGTTTCTGATGTAACGCGTCAGACTTTTTATATATAATCACATTTCTTTTAAATCTAGCACATTTTAAGATTTGCCTTGATCAGTGAAATATCTTATACAATTATGTGTGATACCAGTGTGGAAATTCATGTTAATAGCCATTCCTGTCTACCATAATCGTGTTAATTCATGGACAGAGAATTTTCATATATCATGTAAAATGAGGAAAGGTGAAGTTATTCATAAAGAACATACTGTCATGCTATATAGAGATGCAAAGTTCTGATGCATGAAAATGCATGGAGCTTTACCTCCATTCCTCTATGAAGTGTGTGGTTCTAGTCACAAGAATAACTTCATAACAAAGAAAGCTGAAATTATTTGTGATAAAATCAGTGAATATAACATTATATTTATAATATTATGTGGCAAGACATTATTATTTTTTCTATCAAAACCATGTATGAAGGCAGCACTGTAAACTTACCTTTGAAATAATATATGTTAAATCTAGTGAATGTAATGATATTGAAAAACATTGGTGTCTCTAGTTCATGCCCAGGTTGATGTTGTCTCTGGTCCCTTGAATATTAAAACATATACAAAAATGGATGTATACAACTTTTTAGTTGCAGTTTTTATTACAGTACTGTAAACATTTCAAGCAATATACAGGTTTATGAACTGTTCCACCTTTTTCTACTAATGAGTAGTGGCTATGGAATTTGAGTATGAGCATATTGTCTACCTCATCATATTGAATTAAAATTCTGTGAAGATTGTAAGGATATTTTCCAGAAATGTTTCCTGTAGGAGAAGAGAACCAGTTACATAGAAACATTTCCTGCATGAAGTATTAAGATATCTCTGCCAAGGGATCAGAATGCTGCTAATTGCTATGGTGTAGCAATAGGAATTTTAACATGTGTGGTTTAATAATTTCTCTTCTATTCGTTGCAAAAGGTAATTGTCACTTAAGGCTGTGCAATTTGTATGTGGGTTGAGGATGCTGCTGTATGACAGAAATCATCGACGTCTTTCACTTAAATACTATATGAGTTCATGGCAGCTGCACCACATTACAAGTCAGTATATATCTGAAAAAATGTCAAAATTGTATCTATGCTCATGGGGAGTGACTTCAAATTAAATTTGTATTGAATTTAATTGTAAATTGTGATATGTTCATATGGTTTTAGAAGACAGAATTTGCATGTTATTGTACTGTAAGGCTTTAGTATGCATTCTGACTTGATGTAAAATTGTAACATCTGTTTTTTTGGAAAAGTTCATATGTGTTTATACACTGAGGAAAACTTGCCAAATGACTGCAGTACCCAGAAACATAATTGAAAAATATAGGTCTGTATAACACTATGTTGTAAGCATGCCCCAGTGTGTGATTATCTCAGAGCTGCTAGCAACACCATTCTGTTGAATTCTTTTTAAATCAGAGGTGTTTTGACAAGTGTACTTTAGGATTACATATATTATTTGGCCATATATTGCATTTTGATTAACTTATTTTTGTTCTTTCCCCTCCTATAGATAAAACTAAGCTTCATTTCAGAGATACATGCATCCATCTTCAGGATTGACTGAAGATTAAGGCAGCACATTCCTCCAAAATATTGGTACACATCTACTAGATTACTGGACTACCAGTCACATTCTAGAAGGCCGTAATCTTAACTGTTACCACTGTGAGAACCTCAAATCTCACATGATTTAGAGTCATTTCCACCCTGTTGTTATTACTGTAATTCTCTGTTAGAAAGCTTAACAGAGCAAGGAAGCAAAAACATTGCCTGAACATAAACGTTTTCACAAGTTTTTTTTATTGCTAGTGGGGTGGGACTAAGTCCGACTTCTGGCCTATTTTCACAGGTTACTGTATTATTATAATAAACAGTAATTTAGGAAGGCTCATAATGATCTCCGTTAAGGTACTATACTCAGCTTTGCTAAGTGGGTCTACAGAATTCCAAGGAAAGGCCAATATCAAGTTTGAGGATGAAACTGGGGAGCACTTAGCACACTATCTAGAGTGTGGGATGACTGGTAATGAAATATTGAAATGTTATTTAATTCATGGAACGTTAACAAGGAGGAGGAACCTGTTGAGCATACATGGAAGGAAATGATGAGATATGGTCACGAATATGAGTAAGATGGAGTGTAATGTGTGGAGAAAAGCTCTAGTCTTGCGTGATGAACATTACAGGAATAGGATTTTACACCATTGTTTTCCGGCAGTATGACTTTTCCATCTGTTCATATACGATAGCACTGACCATAATGATGTTTATGTATTCTAAATTCTTCGTTCATAGGAATGTCTCATTGTTTAAATATATTTAACCAGATTCCAGGAGTACGTTAAACTCCTACCAATTCTTACAAAATAATCGACTCCAAATATACTACCTCCATGGTTTAGCTCAGCTGGTTTGGGTGCCTCAATGGCGTCAATGTTGTCGTATCTGTCGGGTATTCCTTTTTGTTTTCTGCAGTAGTTATGATAGGAAATAGTAATTTACTTTAATAGAAGTGAAGTTTATCATTCAAAGACTTCTCTTCTGTAGCAGGTAGTACTCTATATTATCTCTGTTTTCTTATTCGTTGTTAAATGTTGGACTTGTATGGCGTTATTAGAAGAGATTGTATTTCCTATTCATGAAACGAATATAACTTGTTTTATTTGGCCTTATGAAGGCGGCATATTTTATTGCCATACTATTAAATTGCAAATTTTCCCTTTGAAATGTACCAAGATCTGGTTTCATATATTTTATATTTGTTTAAATAACAGTAACTGGCTCCCATACAGAAAATTTTTTTTACTTTACTCACTTTTTTTTTTTTTTTGGAATTAAACGAAGTTTACCCCTGACAGAAGGTTACAGTATTGTAAAGCCTATGTGGGTAAGTAAGTCTTTCCTAGCTGAGTTGTCCATGATAATTTTCGTGGGATATTTTGTAAAATAATGCCCATGTTTCATTAACAGTTGAGTTTGCTTCTTGAGTGATCCTGACTGTAATTTTGCGGTGGATTGTTATTCAGTTGAAATATACAAAGTATTAGTCATCTTTCTATTAATTGGCTCTCCTTCTTTAAGAAAAATGCCAGCTTGAGAAGTCATTCTGCAGGCCCCAACCTTTTCATATCTGAACACTGAATCTAATTGATGGAATTTTACAAAATTTGATATGAACGTTATGGCATTGGAGACCAGTCTATAACCTTGCAATTCTCAGTTTCCTGCAATCTGTGATATGGAAGATCAAAATTTTTGAGGTGGGAGTGATGACTGGCAACGTTATGCTCCTAATAGGATCCAGAAAGGATGTATATGGGCTCTGACAAGGGGAGGCAGTCAGACATCTGCCCTGCTTTTAAATTTTGAAAGATAAAATCTCTAAAAGAAGGAAACATACCAAGAATTACAATTATTATTAAACATGGCACCATCTGCACTCCTATATAGAGATAAAAGTTGTGGGCATTGTGTAAAGACATTCTAAACAGTGCAAAGTAACTTTGTAAGAAAATTTTCTGGATCCCTCCACAGCCATGGAAAAAACCATATGGCATTTGTGTGTGACATTAGATCTTTAACTTTCCTCAAGGTTAATTCATATTTATATACTGTAGAGTAACTCTACTGGAGATATGTGAAAGTTTTGATTCAACCTATAGTTTGACCATGATAATTAATTGGCCATCAGAACTAAGACCATGAAATTTCATATGAAGATGGGCCATAAACATTTCTACAAAGCATATATAACATATTGTTTATAAGACAGAGATAAAAAATGTGGCGATAATGTGAATACTCATTATATGCCACAAATTTAATGCAGAATCTTAGTAATAAAATAGGAATAAAGTTTTTGTAAATATGATACTGCCTGAGATTTTCAATAATTAAAATTCATACCCAACTTCACTTTCATTTCAGCTATAAGGTGAAAATACAAACATCTTGAATTTTCAGCGTGAGGTAAGTGGTTAATATGTATATGTAAAGTTTCTTTTTAAGTAAAAGAGAAACTAAAGTGGTCTATGAATTATTATTCTGTTATTCCTGCTCTCCTAAACCTTCTTTGTATGAAAATGAATGTGTAATGGGAATGTCATCCCTGCTTATCCATTTGCAATTTTTGTCTCAAAATCTTACTCACAGAGTTTTATAAAATTTAATACTGGAGTCTACACGAAAAATTGTCAGTAAGTTTTGGTTCATATTAGTTCTGTATGAAAATCCTCTAACTTTAATCCCTCTTGCTCATAAATCCATGTGTCTTTTAAAGCATATACTCAACTTTGAACAGAAACTTTCATATTTCAATCCGGATTAACTGTAACTGGATTAGCGAGGGTTAACTGTACTCAGAAGGTATAGTGATGTTGTGACATCCCTGTTGATGGAATCTTCAGATTGATACCAGCTATCCAGAAGCGGTGTTATCACCTAAGCAAACAATAAGTAATCACATGCGGATAGGTCCAAACAGTAAGGAATGTTTGACAGCACCTTCCAACACCAGCTTTGCAGCAAGCTTTTAAATGGCAAGTGTGTGCTGTATTGTGCTGGAGGATAATGATACCACATTGCAGCTCTTCTGGTTATAGCTGACACAGGGAGGCTGGAACTTATTGTATACAACTCTTACATAATATTTGTTATTTCTTGTGGTATCAGGCACAGGCCTGTAATTGGTGAAGAACTCAGCATGTATTACTTTCAGAGTAACCTGACTGTAGTGCAGTCACTTTAGGAAATGCCAACTAGCACTTTATTGATTCAGTTCAAAGCTAGATGCACCCATGACTCATCTAAGTCTACTTTATAAATCTGATTAAGAAACGTATCTCTCTCCCTTAACAGCATTGCAAATGAGTGGTGGAGAGAAACCATGCATGGGACCATGATAATTATTCAACACACGAGGATTACACTTTTCACTAATGATCTTCTACCACAGAGACTTACTAAGGATATGAAACAAACTTAGTAATCAGTTTAGGGGCCGCGCCATAGCTCACGTGGTTAGTCACTGGCTTCCCACCGCGGTGGCCTGGGTTCGATCATGGGTCTGGTCAAGTGGGATTTGTGGTGGACAATGTGGCGCTGGGGTGGGTTTTCTCCAAGTACTTCGGTTTCCCCTGCCAATCTTCATTCCACCAAATCCTCCATCATCATAATCACCTGGGGCAGGTACAGTAGGCCAATTAGTGGCTGAGTGGACCCAGGTGGACTCCACCGCCCCTACTAAATGAATTTAGTAATCAGTTTCCCACTTGCTCTGCATTTGGTATGCGTGAAACTATGCATGTCCATTTGAATACTATATGTCTATGCTTCACATTTGCTATGTCAATTGTTGCCACAACACAATGGGGTGTCATCTACTCAGTCTTCTGCCCCACACTGACGGCATTCACCCACCATTGAATAGTTTTGTACAATAGGGCATGAGTCCCTGAGCTTTTATAGAACTGATTGTGAGACTTACATTGAGTTTTTCTTAACAGCAATTGGAACCACATGACTTCTCACAACTCTGTGCTTGAAACTGGCACTCTTTCTTGGCCTGTAGATCAACACTGGACATTCATAAGTAGCATGTTGCCTGGCTCATATGTTCAGTACATACTAATGCCGCATCTAAAAGAAATTCATTTGCACAAATCTGCACATACCATACAGGAATCTTCTGAAATGCCTCCTCATAGGTTTGTATCAATAATAAATTAACATGCAGGCTAATGTGTCATGTAAAGTGACAGAGTGCGTTTCGGGTACAGGGGTTGGAGAAAATAATGGAACGCTACAGATACTGTACTCATTTCTTTATTAATGGACCACCTTTTGCCTTTAATACAGCTGCAGTCCTTCTTGGAATGGGCTTGTACAGGTTTTGAACAGTCTCTAATGAAATTTTATACCATTCTGCTTGAAGAACATCTTCAAGTTGCTTTAGAGATGTTGGAGGTGGGAACCTGTTCCCCACTCTAGTCTCCAAAACTGACCAGAGTGGTTCAGTGATGTTGAAATCTGGTAATTATGCTGGCCAGGGAGATGTTGAAGTTCACCTGCATACTCTTCAAACCATGACCAAACAGTTCTGTGTGCATTGTCGTCTTGGAAAACTGCATCATTTGAAAATAACATCTGGATCATGCGATGCAAGTGATTACCCAACCCGTCCAAGTACTCCCTTGCAGTTATTTGCCCATGAAGGGAAATAATGGGACTAACAGAATAATGTACCATAATATTTCTACCCAAACCATCACAGAACCTCCACCATATTTCACTGTTGAAACCAGGCATTCCAGATAGACTCCCTTGGGTGTTCTCCAAATGTAAACTCTTCCTGATGTAGGGAACAGCACGAAGAACGACTTGTCTGACCATATCATGTGCACTTCCGGTTGTCTGTTGGCTGCGTTTTATGGTTGTGACACCATCGTTTACGTGTGTGAGCATTACTCTCAGT